AGCCCACTAAACGGCTGAATTTAAATTAAAACTGCAATAAAATTAACAAAAATAATCACAAATTAGCGAAATATATTGCAAATGTAGCTTATATTAAATCGTCACCCGATTGCTCTCTCATCCGCAGAGGTTTCAGTGACTACAATCACAGGGGGTCCAACTAACAGCTGTGTTATGAATAAAACATATTAATTAAACGTAATACGAATAAAACATCATAACGTAATATTGCACTTACTTGTATAAATCATAAGAGCTTGCATTTTAATACAGTGAATAGCTTCAAAAACTTGCTTCGTTCCAAAGACTTCAAATATGGCGAATAAATTGACAAAACGATAATATTACATGACGTTACAACGAAAATAACAGAAAGGATTGCGGGCGCGAGCGGAAAGGCGAGGAAAGAAATAAATAGAAGGGATGAAACAAATATCACGTGACTTTTTTAAATGCTTCTAGACTATCCGTTTAAGCTTTTTGTGGGGGTTTTAAGGCTCATTCGATGTTCTCTTATATGAACAATCATAGTCATTACCAAAAAAGCACTGATCAATCTAATTTATGTGATTTATAACAGCGAACATTCTTGGCCGTTTTCGCGATATGTGTTCCATAAGTAGCCTGTTCTCGTGACGTATGACGAAATAATAATAAAACTAAATAATGTAAAAAAAAACGTTGGTCGCTACATTTAAACATTTCATATTAGCCGGTATAGCTAAACATTGTTTATTTTCATTAATTAAGCGCGTAGGCGTTGTTGGAGTTGGCAGGAGGCGTTTTGGAATTTTCCGAGAGAACAGGCTACTTATGGAACACATCACACGATCGCATTACCGGTGTTTCATCCCTTCTATTAATATATATTACCCTCGCCTTCCGCTCGCGCCCACAATCCTTTCTGTTATTTTCGTTGGAACGTCATGTAATATTATCGTTTTGTCAATTTATTCGCCATATTTGAAGTCTTTGGAACGAAGCAAGTTTTTGAAGCTATTCACTGTATTAAAATGCAAGCTCTTATGATTTATACAAGTAAGTGCAATATTACGTTATGATGTTTTATTCATATTACGTTTAATTAATATGTTTTATTCATAACACAGCTGTTAGTTGGACCCCCTGTGGTTACACGAGCCTATTTTCTAACTTTATTTGCATTTTACTCATTAGTTTCATCGGTGACCTATCTTCAAATTTTGACCACGAATTTATTTTGCGGTAAATTTTATAAATTTCAAATTTAAAAAAAATTGTAGTGTGGAAATTTCGCAATAAATTTTTCGCTTTTAAAAAAATCACACACTACAGAATTTTTTTAAACTTTCACCACAGTTGCAGAGCATCATTCCTTATTGATATATGAAATAAAAAAGATAGGTCACCGACATCGTTTTTGAGATAGCGGCACATTTATGGGTTAAATTGGAAATTTTTATGCTGTCGTCATATTGCCATGGGAACATTGACATCGTCGAAATCTAGTTCGAAATATTCCTTAGGTGACCAATATTGCCACCAAGTCGAAAAGAATTCGCGTTCTGCACGAATAAGCCTGTTTTACGGAATTATTGCTTAAACAAGAATAACTGTAGGGAGCCACCTTAATTTAAAATCACCCAAGCTCATATTTAATAAATCGCCAACAGGAAAACACTCAAATATCCCACTAAATGGCATAAACTCACAACAATATATATGTACTTTTCGTGGTTTCTTTACACATGCATTTAGTAAATCTTTAATGGTATAACCAAGTTCATTAATTGCTGCTATTTTGCTAGCAAATCCATGTACACCTGTGTTTTGCAATCAAAAGTGATGCAACCTGGAAAGTGGAATAAGTTGACTATGCACAATTTTTGGCCACTTAATAGTCATAAATATTTATATAAGAACAATGCATGAATATTTATAAAAGAACAATCTTATCACCGCCTTATGGAGATTTTATATTAATAATAATATCGCTGATATTATATACATTTTTGCTCAAAAGTTCAGGAAGTGAGTTTCTAGATATAGAAAGGTTGAAAACTCCGTTTTATGTATGGTATGTAAAAGGTAATAGTTGTTTACTGTTTATTTTATATTCAGGTATGGGGAATTTAAGCGATGCATGAGAGTTGCAAAAGTTGCAAGTGTAGTCTCATCGACGTCATCGTGCAACTATTAACATTGTGCTACATTCATTTAGGCTTCTATAAACCATACAAATTATTATAGCTTGTATATAATGAATTAATATAACTATAACTTGTTTCTGTTGCTAGTTGAGTATGTCGAGTATGGGACCTATGGACTATGGAGTATCACTTATATCACCGAATTCCTCCCTGTTCACTGAATGAACTATTTCATTCACAGCGGTTAAGACCATTAATATATCGCGGGCGCAATACAAAACACGAGGATTTTAAAATGTTTTGATTTGCAAATAAATAAATAATATTTGACATCATGAAAATTTTAAAATTTAACTCAACAAACTGGTAAGTTCGTGACATGTGCATGTAATTTACTTATATGTTGTTATATTGCAATTCTGTACTGTACACCCTTGAAAATTGTTTGCAATTGCATATGATGTGGGCATGTATTATAGTGGTGTCATGAATTTATACCCCAATGGCTTCGAAATAGACAATGGATGAAAAAAATCATGAATATTGAGCTTATTTACCCTTTAAACACTTGATCATCATGCGCATACAGTGTATTGTTTGTTTCCAGAACCCCCTCAAGCAGACTTCAACTTTTCTTGTCAAATTCCCAATTAAGGTTAAATACAACCCTAACTTTATATTAAATGTGCATGTTCCATACTTCCACTAAGTATATTTTGCTTCATACATTGCATGGGTGTGCTTGTGGGAACACACATGTTTGAATGCTTGGCATGGCCGGTTAATGGTAATAATTTCACTGTAGTCATCAGGGGGATATAGTTGTATATTTCTGAAATAACCTTCCATTAAACTGCATTCGCTAAAATTTTAATTTTTTTCTTAAATCGTCCTATATCGCTCAAACTGACATTGCTTTAAAGTTGCAGATTTTGCTTAAATCACCTAAAATTGCTTAAACTCACATTATCTTGTTACCGCCTCAGAGTAGGGCTAGCTACTGTCGCCATTGCTTTTTAGTCCCCAACACTTCAGTGAGTCATGTTTTGGAAATGACAATTTTTTTTATTACCCAACCCTTGAGTTGTTTTGTTTTTCATTTACCCAACCTTTTACTTACTCAAAATTTAGTTTACCCAACCCTTTTCTCTTCGGTGCCACCCCCCGCCATAAATAATGACCGGTCCCTTAGTTTCCGTGCTGCCACAACTAGCCAAGGCCATCGAGAAGATAACCTCAATAAATCCAGTCTCAAGATTAAAACAGATCAGCACGCTTTCACGAGCGGTCGCTCAACCGGAAAGCAAACTGTCCACGCCCTATTTATTGATCCTCCTGGATAAGCTTGCCGATATGAACGTAACAAGGAGAATCTGGCTATGGACAATGAGTTTTTGGAGGGTATCCTTTATTGCACCATGCCCAGCTGGCGTCCTTCAGGGATCAGCCATTTCACCGACCTATTCAACATGCATATCAATGATATGGAGGATAACGACTACACAATGGCAAAAACGGGGGAATCTAGCCTTTTACAAAGGACTCTACCATAGTTGGGCGGTGGGGAATAAGATGGAGCTGAATGTTAAGATATGTGGATCAGCTTCACCAGAGAACTACCCCCACCACTTTTGCGCGTAGGAGATGATTTTAAACTTTTGGGAACGTGGTTTCAAAAGGATTTTAAATGTAAAAATCTATACTGCCTAACAGAATGCAGATGAGCGAACTTACCAGTTGAACCTACTTAACCTGGCCTATACTTGTATACTGTTCGCCAGTGTGGGGCGGTCTGCCACAATATTTAAGGGACGAATTGGGAAGCGTGCAAAGGAGGAGCCTGGCAACTCTCAAAAAGAGAAGTGAGGCAGCGTCGAGATACCTTGATACGATTACAGGGGAGCCAAATGATACTTTTTATCAACAAATTATAAATCATAATAAACATGACTACAATCTCAGATACAGAAACGGAAGATTAAAATACATACCGACGTTCTCTGGTACCGAACGACAGAGTGATGAGACATCGACTGCACGAAACTTAAATTAGCTTTACGAACCTTATAATTTTTTACAAATTTCTAGATATCTAATATTTTACAAAATTGTACATATATAAATTTATGATCGTTGTAAATTATAATTGCATGCAATTTGTCATTGTTGTAAATCCATGCATTGCATTTTTAAACTGAAGATGGATCATTAAATCATTATTATAACTTTCTTGTGTCATTACGATCAAACTGACTCGCCAAATACAAACCGATTTAAAAATGCCGGTCGAAATCGGATTTTTCCACCGTTGGGAATGCATGTAAGCTATATTGTCTTAGTATTGAAATTATTCTCATTCGGTATTCAAATTGAAGTCCCTTGGCTTGAGCAAATATGGCACAACGCATGTACATGTAAGCATCAAGTTTTGTTAAACTTTTACTCGCCATTTTACATCGAAATTGAGTGGCTAAAACATTTTACAACACTGGAAGCTTCCAGACTGGACTCACAATGGCATACGTTTCCCAAATGGCCAACAAAGATTTGGGCAAATGTTCGAAAATTCGCTTTATACATGTCCATTTTGCATAGATAAGTAATGTGGCAATTAAACTAGAATATAGAAAAAGTTGACTAAGAACTGGACTTTAATTAATTTAGAAACCTTTTCTAGACTATGAACTGCATGAACACAACATTAGATGAATGTTTGTATTTTTATTGTATTTTAGCGTGAAAATGGTTAATAAAATTATACATAAATAATAATTATACATATATAATAATATAATAATAGTATTATTAATAATAGTATTAATGATATTAATGATATTAATAATATTAATAACATCAAACTTTAATGTTAAACATCAGAAAAAGTAATACGAGTTCTCGTTAAAAACGTTTTATAAAAAAACGTTTTAAAAAGTTAAAACGTAATTCATACTCCTAAATTCATTCCAAAAACTCATAAAAGACTTTAAGGCCCGTTTTATACGTCGAATTTTGGTCGCGTCGAATGCAATTAAGACAATGAGATTATAAACTTCATTCTGCTTCATTATCTACTGTTTGAATTGCATTCGACGCGACCGAAATTCGACGTATAAAAAAGACCTTAAGGTCCAGACACACCAGACGCGATTCGACAACGCGACGCGATTTTTCGATTGGCACAGACCGATAACTTTAATTCTAGTTTAAATTTTCCAAATATTTACAAGCGGTATATCATTTTGAGTTATTTGGTCCACATATCTTTCAAAATTTGTTTTCTGATTGGCTGTTTTATTAAATTTTCAAAAATTAAAAAATCGCGTCGCGTTGTCGAATCGCGTCCAGTGTGCAAGTTTCTCAAATATTTAGGGCAACAAGCATATCTTTTAAAATTTCCTTTCATTGGCTGTTTTATTAACTTTCAAAAACTGAAAAATCGCGCCGCGTTGTCGAATCGCGTCCGGTGTGTCTCGACCTTTAAGCCGGTTTTGCACTAGCGAATTTCTTCGCGCGAAGCGAATTTTTTATTGTTAAAATTGAAAAGAATTTATTAAAAGTCTAATTAGTTCCAGCTGAGAGCAAACAAGACAAAAGATTCCCGGGAAGAAATTCGCTAGTGGAAAACAGGCTTTAAGGCGGTTTTCCACGAGGCGGAATTTTTCGACCGAAACGAAATTTCTCTTTGTCTTTTTACAATTAGTTCTGCTCGAATGCTCATGAAACAAAAAGAACTTTCGACTCGGTCGAAAAATTTCGCCTGGTGGAAAACCGCCTTTAAGCATGCACTCGTTTCCAAGAACCATCAAACTGATGTTACGTAATTTTCTCAATTTTTAAAGTTGATTCTTTTTGGATTTTCTTGATTAATTTGGTTAGGGTTAGGGTTAGGGTTGGAGTAGGGGTAGAGTTTGGGTTAGTTACATAGCCACTACATCTTTCGACAATGATGACATGTCAGTTTGGTGGCTGGAAATGAGTACTGACCTTCAGAATGACAACGCTGTTGAGGATACCCCTCGTATCACAAATTATTCAATTCAGTTTTGCATGAAGAAATTCTTTGTTTCGGGAGAGAAACATTAAGAATTGCTTCAGTTCGCACCGTGTTTTCTAAATCAGTCAAATGAGTAATGTGAACAGAAATAACAAGTTTGTGCCCACTGTTAAAACAACGTTAATTCCGCATTATACTGTAGAACGCATTTAAAGTTAGTAAATGAATTCAAAATATTGAATGCAAACCAGTAATGACTTGGTTTTGTCAAGCTAGTGCCAAAATGCCTCAAATTTTTCGTTTTGTTGATAAAATAAGTTATTTCCACAGCTTTTCATTAAATATCGATTTGTTATTGCGCTTATGATTTTTGATTTACAAATCGCAATCGTTTAAAATAATATCCGTGAACCAATTGATCAATTTTAAAAAGCAGCTAACAGTTGGAAAGCTGAATGGCTATATGATTTAAAATGAATCTAAACCTGTAATCTAAATAATTACTAATCTAATAATTACTAACTATGCTTTCGATGGACATTACTGTTCCAAATATTCCTCCAACGATCCCAAATACAGCAATAGCAACGTTCTTAATGTGAACAAGCCTGGAAACACGAGGCAGTGACAACGAGTGAAATATCGGAGGAAATATTAATGCTAAAGCAGAACTGCTCATCGCCCCCACTAGGGAAATAAAATTGTCCAATTGCGGAATGATAGACGCCAGAAACGCTAAAAAGGAAATCAAATTATGCGATATTCAGAGCGTATTAAAAAAGTAATCCAACTTTGGCATGTTATCGTGCATTATTTAACAAATATAAAACATTTCCCGTGTTGATATAGTTATATCAACACGAGTGGGAATTGGGAAAACGAGAAATTGTGTGGGAACACGACGCCCAAAGGGCGGAGTGTTTTCGCACAATTTCGAGTTTTCCCAATTTTTCAAATTGTTTCAAAAATTTTGAAAATGTTTTATATTTTTTTATAATATAGCACAAAGAAATATAAAGAAAGAAATTTTACGTGTTGACACGGAGTTATATCAACACGGCTCTTAGCCAATCAGCGTTCAGAATTTACAAATGCTATATTATAAATATTAATATGTTTATCCATTTACTTGACGTTTGCATACTGAACTCGCAATGCCATACGTTTCCCAAATGGGCAACAGGCATTTGGGCAAATGTTCGAAAATTGGAAGAACATTTTAAAAATCCTATAAATGCAGAAAAATGCGATTTCAACCGACCACTTTAAACCAGATTGTATTTGGTCATTTTTTATCGCAATGATTCAATAAAGGTGTCAGTTGTAAAGATTAGGTTTCGTTTATAAAAAAAAACTGTTGGCAGAGTGCCCAATGGATGTCCAGAGCAAAATTAAATAAATAAATTGAAGTACAACGACTCAACAAATTCCACTAGGCATCTTTATTACTATTTGGTTTCGTACCACAAGATGTGGCACTCATCAGATAAATTAGCCATATGGCTAGCAGCAAAACTTACAGACAACTTACTACACGCGTCAAATATGGAGCGACCTGAATAATATCTCTTATCTACAAGGTAAAGTCAGTGAACTCTCTACATATACATGTATCTGGAGCAAGAACTGATTTGACCTATCAGAAAAGTGAAGTGAATATATGGGGGAAATTGATGTCCAGTACATGAATACATGTATCTATACAGTATGAAGGTTGTAATGTTGTATACAGTCTTATATAAGTCTAATTCCAGTTTTTCTAACAGACCGTATCGCTAAACAAGTTATCAGTTCATATATAACCATAGTAGTATTATTTCCTTTAAAATGAAATCAAGAAAAGGGACTGGATCTTCGCTTCACTTTTTGGATCCGAATTCTCACTCCAGAAATATATGAAGCTCAGTGGATAAAGCGGCACTTACAACCAGCCATTTGTTTAGATGAAATTACTTACCCGTAAAAATTACTACCAGAACTCTGAAAACGAAACTTTTTAAAAGAGTTTCACCTTTGAATACACGTTTTAGAAACCAAGGTTCAAGAATATCCAATGGAACGTATACTTGAATAAAATAGGATAGGAATATTGCTATTGTTACAATACATTTGATAATAGTCGGAAACCTAGAGAAAAATCAAAATGGAAAAGTGATTTCGATAACTTGTTAGTTAAAGAATTAATAGATTATAATAATTTAAAACTTGCTATTATCAGCAAACTTACTACTTATTTATGTTACTTTGTTCGACATACTGTATTCTTCACTTTTAATACATGCATTTTTATATCGCCCAACTGAAAATCACTGTTTGTGAGTTGGATACCCTGATAAAATCTTGTTATAATAATCTCATGCGATGGTTAAATAAGTTGAACCTCAAGCAATGCTTCAAAAAATAATGCACGTCACATGCACAAAAGGATAAAGTCATGTGTTCGCCTCAACATATATAGAAAGGAATATTTTATTAAGGTGCTGTGTTTAAGTAATCACTGTCGTATTGTCAAACAGTAAAGCCATAATAAAATATATGACTATAGGCTAATTAATGGTCCAAGACTATAGGTCGATTCGAAAAATGGTTGTCATTCTTTTTTCTCCCGAAATTAATTTCGATCATGCACTGCTGCCGCCTCCAAGATGATAGTCAATTTTACAAAATATAAATATACAATACCATGTATTCAAGATGAGAAATTAAATCTTAAAAATACCGGAGTTTCTGCTAGATTCACCAAAGAAGACTGATTCCTCAGACTATATCATTAAATTCTAAGATTGAATCTATAGTGATGTTGAATACTACAGTAATGAGTGTACAGGCGTCATAGGGTCGAGGTTCCTAAAGGACTAGAAGCGAGTTGAAAGTTTACAGTAAAATGGCATTCTTTTGAACTCCAGAGAAGCGGTCTCAATAATCATGCTGATTTAATACTGTAGTACAAGCTAATAATGGCACTTACACACCAGCACCAAGATTTAGTGTGATACTGCCTTCACAATCGCCTGTGCACATCAGGTAACCAAACAACCCCATGGAAACATACAGGAATGTAACAAATGCCATACTAATGTTAACAATCCAAGGGAAGTCGGATGGCTTCTTCATTTCATTTTCAAGTGGAAGTATCTGTATATACATATAACAAATATAATGACAACATTGCATTAGTTCGTTTAGATCGAGAAGAGTGGTTCCAAATAAGTGCTTTGCAACGATACAGCAATTCACTCCAAATAACGAAAGTCGGCGAATCAAGTTTAATTGTTTTTTTGAATGGTGATTACAGTACTCATTAATAATTAATGACGAAAATCCAATACAAATATATCAGCCAACATAATAGTGTGTGGTCAACAATGTTGCATCCAAAAATGTTGGAGGACGATGTTGGACAAACATGTTGGCTACGTTTGAACGGGCCTTAAAGGCCCATCTACACGATACGACTATATAGTTGTATACGATTCTTATCGTGGCGTATTTCTTGAATAAATGAGAGTATAGATGTAACATTTCAAATTTCTCCATAAGCTGATTAACATGAATACTAGCGTCAGCAGTCATTTTCATACGCCAGGATGACAATCGTATACGACTGGTCGTATCCTTAAGCAAGATAAAACATTCACATCGAATCTGTATCTGATTTGCTACGTACGGCTTGCCTTGTAAATCAGACACATCAGTTGCTTAAAGTACGCTTTACTTGTATGTTAGGGGCTAGTATAGTCATAAGAGCGAGCGCCTTTCACCGCTGAGTTCGCGGGTTCGAATCTCACCACGGACTCATGTGAAAAGAGTTAGTCGACGCTCTGCCGAAAGTCGTGGGTTTTCTCCGGGTGCTCCGGTTTCCTCCCGGCTCCAACAGAGAAAGTTGACAGGGAGGGTTAGGATAAGCACAGTTAATAAAGTGATATCACAATTCTTGTAAACATAAAGCCCCGTTTACACGACCAATTTTTATGTGACAATTTTTCATGTTTTTATGTGAGAAATGTATTTGGTCGTGTAGATGAGACAACAAATAATTGTTGATTCCTGTTTAAAAAATATCTATGAACAGTGGTATCTCGCGCAATAAAACATGGCGCGGACACTAATTATACTTTTACAAATATGGCGGGAGAAAAAATATGACATTTTATGTGACGAGTAATCTACACGAGCAATTTTTCGTAACGCGCTAGCTTTTCAGCAACTGCATTTGCCACACAAAATTGCCCAATTTTCCTCGTCTACACGAGCAAATAAAAATTGTCACATAAAAATTGCTCGTGTAAACGGGGCTTAAAATGGTCTAGGCTAAGTATGTAATCAGGTGAGCGTAATACATGATGTACATATCATCATTATATCATATCATATCGCATTTGATCATATCCAACTGTAAATTTGCGCTATATAGAAATGTTAATTGTAATCGTATATCACATGTACTTATTCCCCATGGAAACCTCTACTGCCAGTGTACATGTGTCAAAATATAAAGCTTGTTTAATGCTAGTATTCTACCTAAAGGCAGAGCATTATGAAGAAAAACACAGTCATGTTCTTACCAGTCCAATCCCTTCATATGCATACACAGCCACTCCAAAAAACAAAGGAAACTTCTTGATGCCAGCAAATGAAGGAAGGCTTGATGGATTATGCATATTTGCAAATATATAGTAAAATATGCAAATAACTCCCGATATCAGTAAAATATTTGAGATTAACGATACCCACGATAAAGTGTCGAGGTTTTTGATGAACGAGAATGCGACAAAATAAGGTACAACTATTAGAATCCAAATCGTTATAGAAACTTTAAATGACGAGTGATTTGCCACAATCTAAAACAAAAAATCTCACTGTTTAACATGTTAACCCAAAGAACTATTATAATAGTATATACACCTCACTTCAACAAAACATTGAATAGGGACATTCCATGTCTATTCATCAGAGGGTTGTAACCCACCTCTTGCGATTTGGCTTAATTTTTAACCACAAGTGGACATTATTAAGAAATGACTGTATACAAAATTTGAGGTTAATATCTCAAAATATATATCTATACATGTAACTGTTTGCGTGGTCATCATGGTCATGTAACTGTTTACCAGACAATTCTCAAAAGTCAGAACATTAGTTTATCGCCTAAAATAATGGGTGCAACTGCCCTGTTGCAATATGAACATTCTGATTCCTTGACACCAAACCGTTTTAAGTGCAAAATTGTAATAAGAGCAGGAGCTACATAAAAACGTTTATGAGCTTCTGAGGTTAAACTGTTATTCCGGAAGTGGAATTGGAGCAGTCAAACACCCTAAAACCAGTCAATTTTTAATGAACTGTATAATAGGAGCAGGAGTTACATAAAAACGTTTATGAGCTTCTGAGGTTAAACTGTTATTCCGGAAGTGGAATTGGAGCAGTCAAACACCCTAAATCAGTCAATTTTTAATGAACTGTAAATCAAAAACTGCTTGAGATATTGACTTCAAATTTTGTATACAGTCATTTCTTACCATTGTCTACTTATGGTGTTTTGAGGTGGGTTACAAATTCGAAAAAAATATAATGAATTGACATGGAATGATCCAAAAACCAAGTCCTATGATTGACGTCTGAAGTGAAATTAGAGCTAACTGTGAGAGCCGCGCGAGGAAAGTGCACTATCAAACGACTGGATATAGTTACAAGGAGCGGGAAATACTATCAAAAAGTGTTTTTGAGCTAAACTAAACAAGAAAATCAATACCCCATTTCTGAATTACGGTCGAATGCCCGTAGACAATAACATGAGAACGAAGTTTCATACAAAGCTGTAATTTTTCCACAGCAAATTACTGTTGGTGTTACTGTTCTTGACAACTAGATCGGCATAATTTGAAAATGGTCTATTTGGAACATTTTCCTAGTTTTAGGGTCTGAGGAACTCTATTTCATACATTTAAGACACGTTTTGTGATTTATCCTCAGATTAGAAAGAATTACAAATTGGTCTTGAAGAAGAAAGAATGGGGCAGGCTCCCATGGAGCTATACGAATAGTGGTCGCTTTACAAATGCCATTCCCCCCGTGGCGACGCCCCTGGCTGTACATACATAGTGGCCGTCTTTAATGGCTTCAAAATTAAACCAGGATTACCATAACCTTTTGAAGTGTGAATGTGCTTAACCTAGTTCGAGCCACGGGTTAGTTGGAGTCCTTTCCAGACAGTAGGGTTCAAAATAACCACAATTTTTACTTATCTAATATATTTGTTCTACCTTTCTTGGTATTTCTCTGTACTTATTTTATTCTTTCACTTATTCTTTATATAAAATTGATCACTCTCACTTGTTCTAGGTTTCGTCCCACGAACAAAACATAAACACAGCAAAATCCAAGTTGAGTTATCGTTAAAAAGATGTTGACGATCAATCTACAAAATAAACGTAGGTTTAGAGTTGCTGTTAAGGAGGCTCCCTACAGTTGCGTGCGGGATGTTCGCGGGACCAGTACGTGAACTATCCCACGCAACCGCATGATCAAAACAAAACAAAAATTGACCACGCTTTTTTTAAAAATAAAGCTATTTCTGAAAGGTTTCTAATGGAAAAAAGCGTTGAATAATACTTCGTTTTGAGTGCCAAATTACTTGCGAGTCTATACAGCAATTCTACATATGATACGAATACCACTAGACTAAAAAATAGCCACGAAACAATGTTTTTTATTTTTTTTTAAATATACATTGTCAACTGTAAAACATTTGCAAAATTGTAAAAGTACAAAACCAAACATGAAACAAAAAAACACGTCCACCTGTTAGGCTGTTACAGCTCATAGATTGAGTAAACGGCAGGGTTCAATATGCTTCAGCCGTAAAAGAGGTTTTGTTGTTTTCATCGATTTGATCCTTCACAATAATCCTTGGCTGTCCATGGCACTCAAATAAATCGAATAGTTGACAAAAACAAAACAGTAAAAACAACATTGCCGCTCGATTTTGCTGAATGAAAGCTCGTTCTGCGCCCGCGTACAATCTTTTACTAGTCAGCGACGCTTTTCTATAAGGGGAATTTCTCGAGTTACAGGAGGCTATTTTCTAACTTTATTTGCATTTTACTCATTAGTTTCATCGGTGACCTATCTTCAAATTTTGACCACGAATTTATTTTGCGGAAAATTTTATAAATTTCAATTTTTAAAAAAATCTTTAGTGTGGAAATTTCGCAATAAAATTTTCGCTTTTAAAAAAATCACACACTACAGAATTTTTTTAAACTTTCACCACAGTTGCAGAGCATCATTCCCTATTGATATATGAAATAAAAAAGATAGGTCACCGACATCATTTTTGAGATAGCGGCACATTTATGGGTTAAATTGGAAGGCTTTATGCTGTCGTCATGTTGCCA